CTACGTCATACCGCGTCATAACGTGACATACAACGATACGTGATTGGCTGGCCAAAATGACCTACAGGGGCACTCGAGGTGCATTGGTTGGTCGTGGAAAGATTTAATAATTTAACATCCTTACTGTGCACAATTTAATCCGCTTAGTATTGAATATTTATATGGAATTTTACAGCTAAATGGAAATTTTAATGAAGAGGTGCATAGTGCATCTGAAGGTCAGAAACGATGATAATTTAGGAACATAAATATTTTATGTAAAGTGTATATTGCTGGTATTGGTATTTTAAAGAAAAAATCCACACTAGTATTCCATTTCTCCCTAAACATTTTAAGCATCAAAGTCTTATATGTGGTTATTTTGGAAACGTTTTTATATGCTCCTTTGACCATATTACTGTACGTTTATATACTTTGTGAAACGTGATCAGTTTAACCTTCTCTGCAAATATGTTCGTTATTGGAGGAAACAAAGCATACTTTTAGAATTTGATTAATAGGTAATATAATATGAAATCGGATATCTAAAGAAATTAATAACAATATAATTATATAAATGCACTGTAACACAAACAGTAGTATATGTGTATGGCTGTTCCAGTGGCTGTCATTTGATTGTGTCAGTGGCATGATGGTTTAAGTGACTGACTTACAAGCAAGAGGTTGGTTGTTTAAATCCAGCTATCGCCATGAGTTTTTTTTTAACAAACATTTCTTTGAAAAACTTAAATAGCAATAGCAAAATAGCAATATTATGGACACTTTTGACTTTTTTATGTTTCTAAATATCACAACATGTTAGAATCTAAGTCATTTATTAATAACAACGGATAGTTTCAAACTGCTACTGATATCATTATCAATATGTGAAAAAAGTGAATCCTGCTTTTTTATGGTCTGTAGCTCAAATCCTGCTTAACTAAAACTTAGACACAAGAAAAGTATTATTAGACAACGCTGTTGTAGTGGCAATGCTTGTTAATAAGACAGAATGAAGTGTTGCTGTGTTTTCCCAAATGAGGCCCCATCTCTCTCTTCATCTTTGTGGTGCAGCCACAGAGAAGCTATTCATGCAGGCTGATTTAAGGTGTTTA